ATTCATCCTGTACAATAACATTTGTGTGTTTTTAAGAAGGAGCAAAGTTTTTTTTTTTAAACGATACTCAAAGTTATTAATACACACTTTGTACATCGATGAAATTTTCAGGGGCCAGATATGTGGACGGAAAATTTTCGAAATTGCTTCAATGACCACGATGTACGACAATACATGATAAAACTGTTTAACGATGTGATTATTTAAAATTATGTAACTAGTACTTGTTCTCATTTTTTTATCGCAGAAAGTTCCTTAACTTTCGATGAAATTATCACATCCTTCTTAAGTATAAACTGTGGGAAGTATCGTGCGACTAAAATCATAAAACTTTGGTTGTCTGAATACGATAAAAGCTATCTTTTAACTTATGTACAGTGAGCATTTTTAGTTAGATGTATCATTTCCAGTCGTGTGTTAAACACTATTCGCTGTAATTCACAATATCTTTCCATAATTTCCGTTTCAAAACTTATGACTTTGCACCTTCGTTTTCCTTATTTATTTTCCGCGTGTTTCATCGAATTAAACTTCTTCCCTCTCAACTTGTTCGGAACTCTCCTCTTTATCGAGATTTTGGCAAGTTTCTGATGTAATTTCTGTTTCGATTAAATTGTGTAACTCTTTACATAACGTTTCTTCGCAAACTTCGCCATTTATGACAGCATTGTCAATAACATCGTACTCTTTCGTTGCGTCGTTGTTCACTACGTCTTTAAACTCAGGTTCCACGATCTCTTCACAACTTTTAAACATATCTGGATGTTCATTTGAATTCAGTAGCTCAGGATTTTCATTAGAGTTTAATATGTCAGTATTAACCTCGTCGTCCGTCGTATCGGTGGACTGAGAAACTTTCTTTAACACGCTGTCGATCAGATTAGATGCAAAACTTTTGTTTTCATTGCCTTCGTGGATTGTTTGATGAATCGGTAATGTCTGCGGTCTGTGTGCTCGAGTGTAGGGAAATGTATTCTCCTCGCCTGCTGGCGTATGAACCGCAGAAATTTCAGTTTGAGTCGCGACAGCATTATCAATGAGATTCTGTTTTGATTGCATGTTTGACATGCATCGTTTTATTTCTGACATAGAATCTTGTAATTGTTGAACCTAAATGTGAATTAATTTCATAAAGATGACTTAACACATTGCATCGAAATTTTCAATTATAAATCTATAATTTATATTTTACCTGAGTATGTAACAAATTACACGTCTGTGCTAGATTGGTTACAACATCTACATTCTGCGCAAGATTTTCATTATCGTTACTCGCAGGCTCTCGATTACTACTAGGTTGTAAACTAACAACTTTTTTCCATAATGCATTGATTGCTTGCATTTGTAATAATTGCAGCTTATGTTCACTTTCCAAAGCTGTTCTAGTAGCTTCCATATCAGTAGAAAGTTTCCTAAGAAATCAATGAATCATATAACAGTCTAAATAGATAAGTAATAGATAATGAAAATGTTATAAAATTGTACTGGATATATTTAATTGTCCTCATCATTTCAATAGTCTTCAAGACGTTAGTTGCCTTTTTATTAAGATTTCTGGTATGGTAGCCTCTCCACATCCTTTGAATACATATTGCTGCTTTCTCAGCTTCATCTTGATCTGCTTCATTAATAGAAAAAAAAAGTATAACAAACAAAAGAACTACTGCGTCGATTGATTAATAATTTTCATTCGTTTAAAAATTTCTTACCTTTATTACTGTCTTCCTGTCTTCTTTGAATAGCTCGGTTACGAATGCTATCCAATTTCGCTTGGCATACTTCGCTATCTTCATCGCTACTTTGGGTAACATTACCTGCATCTCCATCTCCCGTTTTTTTGATTATACTACTTTTAATTTTATCGTTTGCACTTTTTGGCCTTTGTATGATTCTGCCTAGGGTTGGTGAATTTTTTGTACTTCGTCGTCCAGGTAATGTTTTACTTTGAACATAATTATTAATTTTCACGCTATGTGGACATTTGTTACTAGGATTTGTAACAACAGGTTTAGCGATATTTGGTTTTCCAATACTGCAATTGGTCGCAGAGTTACTTTTTACAAGTGCATTTGCTTTTACCGAACTGAGATTTGTTTTTGCCATTGGATTTACTGTATTTATTATTGGAATAGCCTTGCCATCTCCATCGGTTACAGGTTTACTGGGTACTGTAATTTGACACGGTGATGTTAATTTACTTGGTGGAGTTTTTGCCAGAATGCGTGCAAGTCCAGACGGTGGACGAAAATCTGGACTCATTAAGGATTCAGGAACCGGAACTAATTTTGTTGCAGCCTGTAGAGGACTAGATGTTTCTACAAATCAAATGTTAATGTAACATATAATAAATGGTGATGGTCACTTTTCTTTTACTTTTAATTTACCTTCGATACTGGAGATGGTGTTATTTGATATCTTATTATTTAAGCTGCCACATAACATATTTGGATCCAAACTTTGAGTCATTAATGTTTCATGCTCTTCATTTAAAAGGGTGTGGCACGAAGAAACCATTGCATCTGTGTGACAGCTAGATACCATCCTATCTGGAGATCTAATTCTTAACGAATTTCTTGATGAACCTAATTAAGTATCATGCATTTTAAATAATTATAATATAGTTTATAAAGTATAATGTGGTTTGTTATGATGATATTGTTCGGGCTAGCTTTGCTAGCAAAAGCGTGCAAATGATATCTGACTAAGTACTAGATAAACCATATAAGAATTGTGAACTACGTGAAATGTATTTCCAAATCGTCAAAATGATAATTTGCTAACCAAATCTTCTAATTAGCATTATTATCATAACATCTTTTTGTCTTTCATTCTCCAAAGTCGTTAGCGCTATAAGCTTAAAAAAGCAATCACGTAAAAACATACTACATACTAGGCATGAAAGATAGAAACATGTGCATCAATCTAAGTTAAAACATATTCATAAAATACAATAGTACTTCTTAGACAATATTAACGTTACATTGAATTTGAAGTGCTTTAATATACAAATTTAATGTTAGATTTTTACACATGTCCATTATGCAGTCGTAGCCATATGTGATATATCCTCATTCTGACTTTGGATACCTTTACAAGGTGAATGGCACACACAGTACTTTGCTTCATAAAATTTTGGTGATTGTAAGCATTTATCTTCATAGTATGTCAACAATGGCGCAACTAGAGAAAACACATTATAACTAGAACATGTATAATGTGTATGACGACTGGAAAGTGTACATCACTACTAGTCCACGATTGCAGATATAACTAGGAAAACTTGATTCTTGATCGCACTTATAAGAATTAAGAAAAAACTTTAAGGATCAATTAGACTCACTGGCACGTCTAGGAGAACTTGTCCTGTTATGACTAAGTCTACGCCTAGTGGCTGGAGAAGGACTCATTCCAACGCTACTTAAGCTGTGCACACTTCCAGTGTCGCTTTGTTGGTTTAATTGCTGTTGATGATGTTGCGCTTTACTCAAAATCAGCCTAAGCTTCCTGTCAGTTTCATTTTCTAGGGATTCACCAGAGAGAGGGCAGACAGATGCTAGGTACTGAGCTAGCAGTGCATGTTCCCCAACACGAAATTGTCTACCACGTCCCTGAGAATACAGCCACTCTGCTTTCAAACTAAGTGGCCATAATTTAAAATAAATTTTGATTGTTGGGGCCCAAATAATACTAAATTACATACTTATAATATTTTGAAGGAAAGACCTACCTTTCAATAGGATCAACAGGATAGCCATCAATTGATTTTAAGCTCATACACCAATTGATAACAAAAGGGCGATAGTCAAACCCACTATTAGCTATTTGTTAAGAAGAATAAGCTATAGCTGTAAATCTACTGTTAGTATAAAAGTTTCTTTCTGTGTGTAGCCTTCTACAAGCGCAACATTTTATGAGAAAATATAGTTCTAAAGTAACACTGAAGATAGTAAAATATCACATCTTTCTGTCTATGTATTGTAAAAAATGTCTTCAGTAAACTACTAATCCATCTCTAATCCCTAGATGGAAATATAAAATGTATATGATAAAAAGGATACATACTATTACCTGTCATACTGACGCATGGGTTATTGGCAATCGAAAAATTGATTAAACTTTTTAAATTAGCTAAATGTGACATTTCATTTAAATCAGTAATATTATTATTTGCCAAGGTAAATGTTTCTAATGAACTAGGTAAGTAGCGTTCACATTGCCTTAATGTTATGATGCGATTGTTATGCAAGAAAAGTTCCTAAAATATTGTGTATATTATTATGAAATGAAATAAAATTGCTTAGTCGATTATTATTACATTCCCAACTGATATAGATTAATCATAACAAATTTAAGGAATATTACCTTTAAATGTCTTAGATACGATATGTCTGAGATATGACTGATGCTGTTTTCAGACAAATCTAAATGTTCCAATTTGGTGTTTGTGTGTAAATGTTCAATAGACTGTACAAATGAATGTAACATTAAAAAACATGCATGACACTATCTATATAATATACAAACAATATATCTATATAATGTACCTTTATATTATTGCCAGCCAAGCAAAGAGTTTGTAAATTTATCATATCCTTTATGCCTTCAATGGTTAAGATACCATTATTCGCTAAATTAAGAGTTACAAGATTATGTAACTTTGATACTCCATACATTCGTAGTAGCTGGTTTCTTACGATAGAAAGCTGAAATTTCAAATTTATTACTGGTAAGAGTAATGCTTTATTTATCATGTGTGACACTGTTAACATGTCAATGGAAGAAATATGTAATAAGACACTATTTTACAGCACGAAAATATATGAAATTAAACTGTATATTTAAAGTACGATATCTAAATGTATTACCTTAGTAATTCTATGATAAGAATCAAGATTATCGAGACGCTGAAGCTCATTGTCGTCTAAAATCAATGTACTGATATCTGCGTCCGATGGACAACGGGAGAGTTTTTTAAGACCCTGACCACTTAAATCCAGTGTCTCGCATACCAAGGATTCTGAATGAAAAAAATAATTCTATTATTATTCTTATATAATTTATAAAATCTTACTGAAGATTCCGTGCAACACACGATAAGAAGTGTCAAATGTGACAAGTACAAAACCGCAAGTTTTTAAACGGAACTGCACTATTTTTATGTGTACACTGAACGAATAATCATCACCGTGATAATTAAGAACATACGGAATCTATTTGAAACATTTTTAGTGTAGTATTTTAATAAAAAAATCATTAAATATACATATCAAATCCACACTAACCCGTCGAAGCCATGATGAACACAATAAACTGGCAGACGCTACAAAGATGTCGTCGTAATCACTACTAGTGCCTAATAGAAATAGGTGAAGCTTGCAAAATATATCAAAATAACAATTTATTAATTTTATATGAAGATAATAACACACTTAGGTGTATTTTATTGATGCATTTCTTTCAGCTGTGTTTAATACATTACCGAGGTACAACGTATGTGTATATATGTATGTATACATGTATATGTATACTTTAATACCACGTTAACGTTATTTTTCTATTAATAGTAAGCATTTTATATATTAATAGACTTTATATAAAATGCTATTATATTTATTGTTAAAATATTCTGCACATTTTAATATTAGTACGCACACGAGATGGGAGATTTCAAATTGTACATTCGGTTTAACATGGACGACTCAGAAGTTCAAAATGTTTGACATATAACTTCGTTAACTTGATAAATTTCATTGAATTATTCGAAATATTCATTATTTTCCGATTAATACCAACAGTTAACAAAGGTAAGAATTTACTTGATGCGGTTTATTAATTATAGATTTCTGATACATATTGGTAATAATAAAGTCACGTGTTGAGCACATTGTTACTACATTGTAATCATGAACAAAGTTGTAAACAGTAAAATGAAATGAAAATTCATGTGATATAGATTTCGAGTCATTGTAACTATTGTATCAGTGCTTATAAAATGAATAAATGGAAACAAGGTTCAATAAAGGTTTTTACAAAAGAAGAATGGAACATGAAGGAAAAGATGTGTAAAAACCTAACCTTTAACAATGTTAAAACTTCAAATTCTGCTTCAGCAGCGTTATTTAATACAACAATATTCGACGGAAGAGGTACATTCAATGTAATTAAAACTTCAAATTCTGCTTCAAAAAAGAGGAAAAATAATATAAAGGCACGTGATGACAACACCAGGATCAATGAAATTAATATGCAAATGCTGTCAAAGTCATTACACGAACAAATATTTAAAAATTGTTCTAAACAAGAGAAGTTATCAAAGGAGGAAATAAAATCTATAAAAAATAATTTAAAGGCATATGGGATAAAAACTACAGATGCATCTAGATTACCAAATGTAGATCTTAAATTACCTCAGTTAGAAGGTAATGATATAGAGCAACATTTTTATAACATTGGTCGAGCACAAGTTGAGCCTTATTTGGCAATTGTGAAAAGGATTATAAAAAATATTCCTAAAATGCCAGATCAATGGTTATTAAATGAAGGATGGACCAGATATACAATTGATGGAGCAGAATCTGTAGATTACCCATTAGAGGATGGTATTATTTTTGATGTAGAAGTTTGTGTGAAAGAGAGTCCTTTACCAGTAATCGCTACTGCAGTATCAACTGAAGCATGGTATGGTTGGGTGTCAAAATCTATAATAGATGGGGTGGCCAGATCATACGAGGGTCAACAGTTTACTACAGATCAGTTGATACCAATAGAAAGTAAACCTACAGAGCACGGGGAGAAATTGTCTGATTTTCAGAAGAAACCAAAGATTCTAATAGGTCATAATGTATCATTCGACAGAAGTAAGATTAAAGAACAATATTGGTTGAATTCTACTGGATTAAGATTCATCGATACAATGTCCCTTCATGTATCTGTAAGTGGAATTAATAGTTTCCAAAGATCAATTCTAAATACAAAGAAAAATACCACAGAGAAGACAAATTTGCAAACTAGAACTTGTTTGAATAGTTTGGCAGAAATTCACAAATTTTATTGTGGCTATGAAATAAGTAAGGAAGCCAGAACTGTACTTATAGAGGGAACTTCAAGTGATATAAAAAAGAATTTCAATTTTTTTATGACATACTGCGCAAACGATGTGCTTGCAACGTACAATGTGTTATCTCATTTATTTCCCATGTTTGAAGAAAGGTTTCCTCATCCTGTTACTTTAGCAGGAATGTTGGAGATTGGAACTGCGTATTTACCTGTTAATTCTAATTGGCATAGGTACATAGATGAGTCAGAGTCTACATTCAAAGATTTAAACTATGAGACCAAATTAATTCTCTCTCAAAGAGCCGATGTTGTGTGTAAACTTATGCACAACGAGAAATATAAAGAAGATTTATGGATGTGGAATGAGGATTGGAGTACTCAGAGCATCAAATTGAAATCATCAAAATTGTATAAGGATCTAAAAAACAGATTTGTACCACCAGTTAAAACAGATAAAACAACTGATGCACAGAATTATCTTACAGATGATGAAGATAATGAAGATCCTTTAGAAACGGAATTTGCATATTTACAGGAAACAAGAAAACTTTTACCTTCTAAAATACCACATATGGCAGGATACCCAGCATGGTATAGAAAACTTTGTTTTAAATTCAATGACAAGGACTGGGTGCCAGGACCATGCAATATAAGTACAGCTATGCAAATTGTTCCAAAACTTCTAAACCTTACATGGGAGTCTTATCCTTTACACTACAGAAGAAATTATGGTTGGGGGATTTTGGTACCCTTTAAAAATGATTTAAATATACAAACTAACATACCTCTGAAACAGCTTTTGGCCCAATGTTCTTTGAGAAAAATAGATTATTCCTCTGATGAAACAGAGTATGCAATGTCAACTCTCGATAAAAATGTGGAAAGCAACTTAAGCAAACCAGATTCTTGGTATACTAATAAAAAGAAAAAAGAGGACTGCCATGGCATTAATAACATCTATGAAGGTACTGCAATATGGTGTAACGAAATTGTGGATAATTGTTGTTACTTCCTCAAGCTTCCACATAAAGATGGAGCAAATTGTAATGTTGGCAATCCTCTGGCTAAAGATTTCTTGAACAAGTTTTCTGAAAATGTCCTTGCTAGCTCCGAACAGAGTGCAACAGAAATTTTAAAAATCGCTAAAACACTTTCGTATTGGAGAAATAACAGAGATAGAATAATGTCACAATTTGTAGTGTGGCTTGACAACTTCAATTTATCAGATACTGTTACAGGAATTGAAAAGTCATTCCGTTATGGTGCGATCATACCATTGGTTGTTGCATGTGGTACATTAACCAGGCGTGCAGTGGAGTCCACATGGATGACTGCTTCTAATGCCCACCCTGATCGTGTTGGTTCTGAATTAAGGGCTATGATACAAGCTCCTCCAGGATACAACATCATTGGAGCTGATGTGGATAGTCAAGAGCTATGGATTTCATCTATGTTGGGTGACGCTTACTATAAAAAAGTTCATGGATCTACACCCTTTGGCTGGATGACCGTGATAGGCACTAAATCTAACGAAACTGACATGCATAATGTTACTGCAAAAGCTGTCGGGATATCAAGGGATCAAGCCAAGATAATTAATTATGCCAGAATTTATGGTGCAGGACAAAAATTTGCAGAAAGACTCCTAAAACAGTTTAATCCATCAATGACTAATGAAGAAGCTGCGTCCAAGTCTCGAAAGATGTTTACTATAACTAAAGGCAAGAAAGTGTACAGATTAAAGCCTGAACTGTTGGCTAATAATGATCTGGATGATGTCGAGTATTCATCTTACAATGCTTACAAAATATCCAAAATGCTTAAAAAGAGGTTGCCTGAGGTGTTCGGGAGAAACACATGGGTAGGTGGTTCAGAATCAGCCATGTTCAATAGATTAGAGGAAATTGCTGATAGTCCTCAGCCTGTCACTCCCTTCTTGAACTGTAGACTGACCAAAGCTCTGGAAATGGAAGGCTCCAGCAGCTATTTACCCACAAAAGTGAATTGGGTAGTTCAAAGTGGCGCAGTTGATTTTCTACACTTGATGCTGGTTTCAATGAGGTGGCTCATGAAAGACAACATAAGATTCTGTTTATCGTTTCACGACGAAGTACGGTACCTGGTACCGTCGCAGTACAAGTACAATGCCGCTCTTGCCATGCACGTTACCAATCTTCTGACACGATGCTTCTGTGCTTCGAGAGTGGGTATAAATGATCTCCCAATGTCGGTGGCATTTTTCACGTCCGTAGAAGTGGACACTGTGTTGCGCAAAGAGTCCAAGGATAACTGCAAGACACCCTCGAATTCTCATGGTCTACAGAATGGATATGAAATTCCACCAGGCGAGAGTTTAGACATATGGACCACCATAGAGAAATCTGGTGGCTCCTTTGGGCCATGGCACGATACAGAAAAAGAAAAAAAATTGTCTGATGAAGAAACAGTTCGAAATAAAAGTAGACAATAATATTCTTATACAAAAGCATTTTTGTTCCTAGCTATTGAGCTTGTACTAAAACGTTGTTACACGATACAAAAATTGTTATTTCGTTTTACGATGAAAGTTTTATATATACATACACATATACATATATATTTTTTTTGTTACTTTTAAACTTACAGATCACAATGTCTAAAGCAACTAAACGTAAACATGTTGTTAAAGAAGTGGAGGATTTTAGTATTCCTACAGAGACCCAGTCAATTGTACGAATACTCGAATCCCGTGGTAACAATCTTCACGAAGTTGAGGATTCCACCGGGGATCAGTATCTTGTCTCAATGCCAACAAAGTTTAGAAGAAACATTTGGGTCAAAAGAGGTGATTTCGTACTGGTGGAACCAATACTGGAAGGGGACAAAGTGAAGGCAGAAATAGTCAAAATATTAACTCGAGTATGCTTCTCCTTTTTTCAACGTTTCCACCTTCTCGTTACGAAATAATTCAAAACGACACGTTTACTCTGTTAGGAGCATCAGAAATGGTACCGATCTCAGGGTTGTTGGCCGAAGGAATTCGATGAATCTTCGAAATCACATCGAGAGACTGTGAACAAAGATAACCAAAGCGAGAGCGAAGAAGATGACCTTTTTGTAAATACGAATAGACTGCAACATAATTCCAATGAAATCGACAATAACGATTCGAGTTCCGATGAGTCTGATTCTAGTTAACGTCCGTTGTAATACCATCCGCAGTAACGCCGTGTTGTAAATATGTAATGTTATGTAAATGTAATAAACATTTTTCTACACTGATCTCCGTTTTTTCCAGCGAATTGGGTTTCACCGTTAGTAATAGTTATCATTGGAAACGCGACGTTCCCCGTCACGTTCAATTAACGTAATTACCGATCAACGAGAACAACGTCTTATTCCGCAACAAATACAAAAAATGTTCCTCGGTTTGACGTAAATGCACGTTATCAAAAAATTTATCGTTGCATTGTCTCCGATTAATCTTATCGGCTAACATGATTTTTACCGTGCGATACGCGTCGAACCTTCGGTGAATTAACATTTTCTATTGTATTGCCTAACCGAAACTGGATTACATTTACTTTGACTCCAAAGAAATGACGGAATCCGTTTTATCCCTTAAGATCTTTCGAATTTATCAAAGGTACATCAATTTTCCTAATTACTGCACTCATAAAGTACATTCTACTTGCACAACATATCGCTCAATTTTCGAACAATAAACAAATATATATTTTAAAGTGATCTAGTACCGTTTCCATAATTTTTGTTCGGAAAACCGCGTTCCCCGTTCCATGCAGCATCTCCATCGGCATCCAAGGAATGCGCGTGGCTGCATACTCGACCAATTATGAGCGCGGTAATTAAATGCAACTGCTGATCCTACCGTAATCGAATGATACGTTAGACCGGATCGTTATCAGTGAAATCAGGAGGAGGACGAGGTTGTTGTTGCGACGACAGGTGTCCCAAGGTATCGCCGAGAACATTACGTTCAGTCACGTTGCGTCGACGATACCCGAAACCGTCGCAGATTTCGCGGATCTACCTCTCGCGTCGACGATTTATTCCGTTCCCGTTCGACCACGATCCACCAACGTTCCCAAAAAACCAAACTGTCTCCCCGTTAGAACCGATAACCCCGAATCTAACTCGATTTTTTGCACGACAGCGCCGTTACGCGAATTTCCGCAGCCGGGCGCACGTGTTTTGTGCGTCGAAAATACAAGCGGATCGTTATCTCCAGTAATCCGTGATATTTCGAGGCGGCTGTTCCCTCGAAATTGATTGATCTGATAAACGGTGGCAAGTTTCTTTATTGTTCGAGGAAACAGCCATTCTACACACGTCCGCGAATCGGTTCGAAGATGTCGCAAAGAGTGCAGCCTCGAGGGAGAGGAACGAAGCCCCGCGGCGGTGCGGCAATCGGAAGTCAGTGGCTGTGCTCCAGCTAACGCTTGATTGTCATTTGGAATGGAAACTGTTGGAGCAGATACGTACGTTCCGTTCGTCCGTGGAATTGTTTTAGCGGATTCGCGGGCAATCGTCGAAGTTCGTGAAGATCGTCTTGAACTGGTTGTGTTGGGATCATCGACACAGGTCGTGCAGCAGTTAAGCGATGAGGAATGTTGAGATTAGAATTAAAGTAGAGTATAATCAGCGCTGTAACTTCTTTATATAATTAGATGAAATTTGTAGCGTCATAACTGACACTTCTTTGGACAATCCAGTTTCGCATGCGATGATTTTCTGTTAATGGCAATCGATGGGAAAGCGTATACCCCGAAGAATTAAAGTTGCTTAATTAAGTTTGCTTCTAGTAAATTTATTGAAATCATTCGAAGTGAACTGACATCGGAAACTGCACCGATGATTTCAACGTACAACCCGTTTGGATCGATGACCCATTAACGATCGACTGACCATTGTTTGTTGACTCGACTGCGGGTTATCTGGCCGCAGCAGTATGCTTTGTTTACCTGTGATTATTTCCACAGATATCGAGTGCGCATTTTTAAAATAAACCGTTAACGGGCTCGTTCTCTCCGCGAGTTTCGGTATTTACAAACAAGACCGAGGATCCTTTCTCAAATGTACGTCGCGAGTCCGGCCCACTGTTGGGCGAATTTCGTCTGACGTAGCAGGCTGAACATTTCGTTCCCGTAGAGGGAATCGTCATCATGGAAACGCCGAACGAGGACGCGAGCGATCTGCACGATTTTTGGAAGGACTGGGACCTGAGGAACCTGACGGAGGCCGAGTATTTGGAAAAGGTACTCGGGCCGAAGTACCTGCCTATGAGGTTCGTGGTGCCGCTGACGATAGCTTACCTGGTGATATTCGTCACCGGGATTTTCGGGAACATTGCCACGTGCACCGTGATCATCAGGAATCCTTCGATGCAGACAGCCACGAATTACTACTTGTTCAGTCTGGCTATATCCGATCTTATTCTACTTACGCTGGGTGAGTCCGGTCCGCCATCTTGTCGGGAGAAGCGAATTGTCAGGCGTTCAAGCCAATTCACGCTGTTTTTGCGTGATTTTATTGTCATTTCAATATCTTTGATCACTCAAATAATCAGAAATATTTTCAGTAATCCTCTCTCGATACGATGTGTTCTTTTTGTATACTGTTTTTGTAAGAACTCGCTTTCTTTCGACGAAGAAAATGGTTCGAACGATCGGTTAAATCGTAACTAACATAGGTTTGAATGTTTACATTTTAAATTAGATTGTCGTCTTTAGAAGTAATAGAAAAACAATTTGACATCGTTGCTCGATAGGTCGGAAGGAAGGAACCGGAACGAAATTGTACTTGTTTGCTTTTAATTCTTTCTCAGTGTTTGTCCCGTTCGTCGCGACCTCGTCTTTGTTTCGTCCGCTAGTCGGTGAAGATTTCCTGCAGCATAGAAAGCGACGCACGGTTTTATTGAGTCGTCCCGGTTGATCCGCGCTCGCCCGCACGGCATTTTATGTCCATTCACGAAGAAAACTAGATATAATGGAACATGATGGACACTTAATCGCAGGAAACGAGTGCATTGTGCGAGTATTAGTCGAGCAGGCCCGTGGGGGGATCGATAAACGAATTGAATTTACGTTTCTGCCCCTAAACGACTGTACGTCGAGTGGTTCATTAAACGGTAACAGGCGTTTCAATTGGGAACAGTGGTATTTTCATAGTCGATAAAAGACTGTTTGATAACGATAAAAACCGGATAGCGTAGATATAGAATAACACGGTTTGCTTGAATAAATTCTCGCCGGGTTCCCGAACGATTCTAGCGTTCGACTCGAGAACATAATTCTCTTGATCTACGAAACGAATAGACAGAAATTAATTGAATATCACATACCACTCAAATGTCTTCGTCAAAACTATATATTTAAAATACGGCCAGCGTTAACGAACAATAAGGACGAGAAGCAGTTAAAGATTCCAGCACGCGTTATTTTGAGAAACAACAAAGTGGGCGGTGATTATTCCAGGTAGAAAAGACGAAACAGTCGCGGAATGAATTATGTATTTATAGAACAAATGAAAAGGATTCTCGAGAATGAAGTCCTGTCCGGCTGGGAAACGACGCGTTCCGCTCGAGATCATTTTGCTTCTCGTTCTTCCGTCGGGGCTCGGTGATAAGGGCTTTAAATTAATCTTCGCTCTGTGTGTACATTAGCGATCGTTATCTACACAGTGGGCTGTTTGTTGGTTGTAACGTCGTTGTTATTTGCGTCACCGTGTGGGATATTCAGGATTTAAGTTGCGTGCTCTCCGCGCGGATGAGTCAAGGAGATTTCGAGATGATACGAGCGATTTGTCCGAATGTTTTATTCCCTTTACGCGTCGGTGGATCGGAAGAACGCGGAATGCACGTGACTTCTGATTCCTTTCGAACAGCGCAGTTTCTTATCTCCGAACCTCTTCAATTTCGATTCACACTTATCGCGCAACTATCGCTAGGCTCGCCTTAAATTTAGCTTCTATCAACACAAAATTTCACGGAGCATTCTCTTCCGCGACCACATATTACCATGATTCACCGTCGACCGGCATAAGCCGATAATCGTCTCGCTAACTGCTAACTGCCTATGTTTCAACGCTGCTTTGTACACGGTCATTTTGGAATTTACTTACGAAAGTTACAAATTTTTCCGCTGCACCATCGATATCCGCGATAAAAAATGAATGGTGACATCAATTGTCGTCAGATAAGGCGTAGATCGTATACGCACGTTCGATTAGAAACTGCCGATATCGGTGGCAGATAACAATCGTTATAGGGAAATAATCGGTATATATTTGGTTTTCCCTGGGAACAAACAGGAAATAAGTCACTTGAGTCTTGCCACGAAATTCTTTTGTTTAACGTATTACAATATCGATCACTTCGGCGACTTTAGTGACGAACTGCGAAAGAAACTCAATAAACCAAGAAAGACTAGCCAAACGGTCTAAAACCGAGAAGTGGCGTTACACTGCCTATCTTACTTCTAACATCATTTATCATTTGCCGCGAAAGAATAAGCAATATTATGTAAAACGGTGGAAACTCCAGCGGCAGTCGACGCGTTAAAGCGAAACCGATGCGATTCCCGTTTGCGTGGGAGAACGGTGATAGATGACGAGCGTCTGTCGCGCGCCCAACGCGCGAGTCTTAATTCCCCGTCTCGTTTAATGTTGCCGCGGAACACCGTGACGTTCGCGTGTTAATTACCCGGAGAGCTTAAGACAAGTCCGTCGTAAATCTGCTTTCGGGAAAACGAGTTTGTGTAGCTGCGAAACGACGCAGAAGCTCCGCTGGGCTCGCTCGCCGGTTCGCGTCCTGTCTGACGTCAATCGTTGCAATCGTCGCGGAAATAAATCACAGATAACACCGGTGCCGGTTGATATAGAAAACAGTCGAAAGAAATAGTCCCGGTTACCGTGGAACACGGCTTAAATGGAATATCCATGTAGGTAGATCGTTATCCAGGAGGAGCACCGATCGTTATCGAGACTTGTTCATCTTTCAGGATTACCTAACGAGCTAAGTTGCCTTTGGCAACAGTACCCGTGGGCGCTGGGGGTCGGCCTCTGCAAGATCAGGGCATACGTGTCGGAAATGTAAGAGAGTTCACCCTTTTAACGTTAACCCTTTGCAGTCGAGAATTCTTTTAACTTGCGGAACTTGCAGACCTTTCTTCTTTTGGGACTTTTGGATTTCTGGACTTTTGATTTATCGATTTATAGATTTATAGATTTATAGACTTCTGGACTTCTAGACTTCTAGACTCCTAGATTTCTAGACTTCTAAACTTCTAAACTTCTAAACTTCAATGCTTCTAGATTTCTAGACTTCTAAACTTCTAAACTTCTAAACTTCAAAGCTTCTAGATTTCTAAACTTCTAAACTTCAAAGCTTCTAAATTTCTAGACGTCTAAACTTCAATGCTTTTAGATTTCTAGATTTCTGGACTTCTAGACTTCTAAACTTCAAAGCTTCTAGAATCCTAGACTTTTAGATTTCTGCATTACTAGACTTCTAGACTTCTAAACTTCTAGATTTCTAGACTTCTAGACTCCTAGAATCCTAGAATCTTAGGCTTTTAGATTTCTAAACTTCTAGAACTTCTTCTAAATTTCTTACTAAGCTTCTAGATTTCCAGACTTCTAGAACTTCTTCATCTCTCTATAAAGTCGAATTACACATCAAAGTCTTAAATACTAGGAAAAAAGAAACTATACAACAATCTCTCAATCTTAAATATCAAAGCTAGAAAAAGGCCTTTACGTAATTCGATCGCAAAGGGTTAACTCCATTAAATTACCAACAAATGCGGCAAATCTCCTATTTCTCTTTTATCTTTTTTCTTTATTACGACAGAATAGTTGATATGATTTAAGACGCTTTACAGTCTCGTGGCAGTCAATGTATTAAACCTCCGGGCTAAGTTACTTATCTAGGCGTATAACCATTTTTCCCCGGGGTTCACTTTTTGTTTGAAGAATCATATTTTCGACGAATCCAGAAGTAAATCACTTTTACTCGTTCGATAGGTCGTCGTACGTGTCCGTCCTTACGATAGTGGCCTTCTCCATGGAAAGATACCTGGCCATTTGTCATCCGCTTCGCGTGTACACGATAAGCGGTCTCAAAAGACCGATACGTTTCATCCTGGCTGCGTGGTCAATTGCACTGGTCTGCGCGATACCGTTCGCGATTTACACGAAAGTCAATTTGGTCGAGTATCCGCCAGGTGAACTAATTCAGTTCCATACTGCAGTATATCTGGAAATACTGCGTCTGGCGAGAAAAACTTAAAGTGCGGATACACTTGCTAGCAACTTGCAACAATTTTTATTTCATGACACTTCCATCTTATGTTAATTTATTCTATTTTATCTCTTCATGTTACAGTTTATCTTACTTTATTTCATTTCATTCTATTCTACTCAATTTTAGATTATTCCATTTTCTCTCCTTCGATTTCACTTAATTTCATTACTATCACAATGAAATTGAATTTTCTACCGGCAATCCCATGTACGTCTATACACATAAAAAAAAATATGTCGCGAGTTTCCTGCAAGTGCATCTGCACCGTCAGACGTGGCACAGAGAATGTCTAACAAAACTAATGAAATTGTACGATTCAGAGTCGGGCAACTATTCGGCGGATTCCGCGATATGCGCCATGCTGTTGCCTTACATGCCCAAATTCCCCCTTTACGAGCTGAGCAGCATCATATTCTTCCTGATCCCGATGCTGGTGATCTTGGTGGTTTACACAAGAATGGGCTTGAAGATCAGGAACAGCACGAAGGAAGCTCTGAGCTCAGTGGTGCACAGCACGATTCATGGGGAATCCAGACAGATTCAATCCCGGAGATCAGTCATCAGGATGCTGAGTAAGGAAGGCCTTAATTTTTTAACGTGTCATCCATTCGCACCGCATTTTCAGGATCCTTTTGAATTCTCTAAAAAATGAAATTGCTCCGGGATAATTAACCCTTTGCACTGCGAACAATTTTTAATGTAACCTTTCAGCAACTCCGAATCAGTTTTAATATGAACTATCTAACTATAAAGTTATGTTTGACTAAAAATGACGTTACAAACTTATCTTACAATGTCGCCGCAGTGGCGACAACAGAGTGCAAAGGGTTAAAACTGGGATTTATCAATGAATACATCGTAAAACTCGTTACAGTCTTTCGAATTAGAATTCTTATGGTAAAACTGCAAATCTGGGAAGTCTCTAGAAGAATCACGTAACTTAGCTTCGCAATGAAAGACGTCGAAACTTTTTCTTTATACCAATGATGAGAGGAACTTAAGCATGTACAGATAATTGGAGTAACGCGTTTTCACTGAAAAGTGCACCAGATTCCAAGGCTTATAGTTAATTATTATAAAACCAAATACCCCTTAGGAAAACATAAACAGAGTATGTAACGGATTTCCTAAGAAAGTCAAATTCAATCAAAAGAACAACGACACTATAAAGTTTGAGTATCCATTTCTCCATCATTCTTCCGGATTTCAAACATTGAGGTTCACACTGCAGCACATGTGCCGATGGTCCCCTATAAATTTCACATCAATCGATCAACTGGCACTGAAATGTGGCGACGGTTTCGGAAAATGTGATTTCGAGAGCTCGTTCGAAACTTTGATGTCCCCTAAAAGGATCTGCAACCTCGTTATTTCGCCGAACATCGGAACAAACTGTTCCAAGTGCATTTTTAAAGAGTCATACTCCCAACGTGTGAAGAAGAATCGATTTTTGGAAGATTCAAAACTGGAATACCATTTTTTAACCATTTAGTTCCCCGCGGTATCCCCTTGAAACCACATATTTCAATATCGATAAAACGCGGACCAGCGGACTAGCCACGAAACCATATAAAATCGATATATTAATCGCCATCCATTCCTTTGACAGTTAGAATAGCACTCTCTATAAAAAGTATTTATTTCTAAAGGCAGACCGATTTTCTCGAAACGTTGATCGGTTGACCTGCTGTTTTGGAATTCATAGTGTAGTATCTAGAATTTTTGGCGTAGGTTAAGGTATTTTTAGGAAGAGTGAATATAAGAAGGCCAACACAAGAGTCGTATGTTGGCCTCCGTGGTATTGAGTTGTATTTTTTACGTGTTGCCCGTGTTGTTTCCATATTTTATTAAATACATATATTTATTCCTAGTTCTCAATTGCTCAAGATCCACTCTTTCACTATCTACAATATAGTAACCACTATAATAGCTTCAAATATGTTCTCCTTCCAATTAACACGATGTATTCAGGATTTCTTCGATGCTGGACTTCTCGGAAAATGAACGTCGACGATAAACAGTATTCCGAAATTGAGCAGAAATTCTTTTATCGAATCGTTTTCGAAACTTTTTTATTCAGGACTGACAACGCTAACTCGATTGCAGGTGCTGTGGTGATAATGTTCTTCATCTGCTGGGCCCCGTTCCACGCTCAGCGGCTGCTGTACGTCTACGGCCAGGACTCCGACTATTACCCGGACCTGAACGAGCTGCTGTACATCCTGAGCGGATGCCTGTACTACTTCAGCACCACCGTGAATCCGATCTTGTATAATTTAATGAGCATGAAGTATCGGTACGCGTTCAAGCAGACGATCTGCTGCGGGTCCAAGAAGTCGTCGGCCAGGAGCTGGCCGGCCAAGGAGTCCCAGATGTGCGAGGGGAGTCCCGGCGGGAAGGCTCGCAACTCGAACTTCAAGAACTCAGTGAGGTAACGGCGACATGGACGTTACGAGAAGAAAAGGGAACTTATTACAACGGATCCTTGATAAGTCGAACCGCTTAGGGGAAATGTATGATCCGGGAGTTACGGGGGCGTTACCGAGTTAGTCAGTGAAAGAAACTTAACCCTTTGCACTCGAAAGTTTTTCGATGGAAATGTTCAACATTTTCTGACGATAATGTCTGAGATAATTTTGAAAATACATAGCTTGAGTACTCTAATGAATATATGAAGAAATAAGAAGAATATATTGTTACAATTTTTATGAGGATTACTGATTACTGATCGACAATTCAACTTATAGAAGTTGTCTAAAGGCTTTGGGTTATATGCTTATAGGTTGTGTACTATTAGATTATGTATACTAAACTATAAATTTGAGGTGTAGAGGTTTCCTTAAATTGAAATTTTAGTTGTAATCAGTGAAAACTCTAGATTCGAGTTGCAGAGGGTTTCCTAATTTTAAATTCGAATCAAAGCTCAATTGATGGGTTTTAGCTCAATTCAAAATTTGAGTTGCGAGTGTTATTAATGTTAAACTTGAGTCGTAGGAAGTTTCTTAATTTCAAACTTGGATCATAGAAAGTTTCTTAATTTCAAATTTGAGTCGTAGGATGTTTCTTAATTACAAATTTGAATCCTAGGAAATTTCTTAACTTCAAATTTGGGTCGTAGGAAGTTTCTTAATTTCAAACTTGGATCATAGCAAGTTTCTTAATTTCAAATTTAGGTAGTAGTCAAAAACACTTGTCTCATAAAGCTCTTCAAGTTCCACATGTTCGAGTTACCGAGGTTCCTTACCGGAACAATAATAATTCCAACGATTTTTGCGCAGGTACACGATCAGCCAGGCGAAGGAGATGTTCCGGTTCACCGCCAGCCGTGAGAGCGTGAGCCGAGACGGGAACGCGAACGATAATGCGCCCCGTAAATCTTACGCGCCGAAGAGGGAAGACTCGACGTCTAGGCCGCTTCTTGATCGAATGCACTCCGTAGTTCGGGAACACGAGAGGAACAAGAACGATTCGTCGAAAAGTACCGGCGAGGAGTCCATGTCTATCGCGAGCAGTAACTTGTGACACCATACGAGACTATAAATTCTGTGTTTCACCGTTAGTCTCCGCGTCGAGACGCTCTTGTAAATACTAGTTGTAAGTCGATCACTCAAAATCGTTTATTTATTCTTCGGTAACGTTCCACGGTCGTCGTCGGCCGACTTTCCTCCGATTTTATCGAACTGTACGATTCAAATGTTTAATAAAACCGATGAAACTCGCAGCGATCGTTCGTTCGTCGCGGGATGACGCTATCTCGCGCGGCTTTGCGGCGCAATATGCATTATTTTAAGAAAATTGCATCCACTACTCGATTAAGGCGAGCATGTCGCGTATCTGGGACGACGTTGTCGAAAGGATTAAAGAGGAAACGTGCGGAGTCTAGACTCTGGAAGGTTAGGATACGTTCCGATCAACTACTGGGCAGAATGATTCATTTCTGATCTCTTGTCTTCGGGATTATTGAGAAGATAACGGACGAAGTTGGAAATTGATGTATCAATGGCTAAATTGAATTTTATATATCGGATACTTGAAAGATATACATAGCAGTCGTTACAGCTAATTTCTAATTAAAACGAACGATCATACGTAAAACTGCAAAGGACTATATGTTACCTTTTTAACCCTTTGCACTTGAGGCGCGACTCTCGCCATTTGATTGAACAAAATTGTAAACTGAAAAATTCAATATAAAATGTCGAATCAGGTATTAACAAATAAAACAACTCTGCCCCATAATTTACGCAAGATGTTTCTCTATGTTGCAAATAATATTGTCAATATTTCGTCAGAAAACACTGAATACTTGTAAAAATATTGTCGAGTGCAAAGGGTTAATAATTGAGAAAAGAGAATTAGAATGATTCAATTTGACCTATTTGCTAGTTCTACTGTTAATTACCCTGAAACATGTATCTCACACAGCAGGTTGCAGCAGAAAACTTAGCTTCAACAGGTAAAAAATTAAATTAGGCAAGGGTTTCGACATTCCCCGAGGAAATAACGGGCGTTTAAAAATCCCCGTGAAGGAAAGCGTCGCTAGACAGAGGTTTCCCGTATCAAAGCGTGCGAAATGCGCGCTGGAATTCTCCGAAGGAACTATTTTAAGTATTTCCGAGGAGCAACGTCGGGAACGGTCCGCGGCGTTTCCAACGGCGCGCGCGCCTCTATTTCCCGGGAGGAACTGTAACCGTAGCTTTCAATCGCGAGGGTTTCGAACGCTCGCCGTCTCGTAATTTCGCGCTGCATATTTATCGGGACGGAGCAACCGAAGAATCGGGAAATATTTCCAGTCCCGCGAGATATTCGACGACGACGACCAGGAACGCGGGAGGAAATTAATTCCCGCGACGCAACAGACATGCTTTGCATACCTCGAATCAAAATTCAGGATCACGGACAAATAATTCGCGTCCATTAGCGCGATCTGCGAGCCGTTTTCATGATACTTTCGGTTTTCCCGATCGTCCACCCTGTTTCTCGATTCGAACTTAAATGATAGGGTGACATTTGTTCTTGGTAGATTCTCTGGGGAATATTCCTTGAGAGTCTGATACGCGTGTGGCTAAGGGTTACGGTGCTAAATCTTAGCCGAAATCAGGGCAGATGCAATTTCTCTTCTTAAGGGCGTCGTTAAGCTTGAACTTCGTTTAACTGTCGAAAATTGCGTGGTGCATGGGAAGTGCCTTCTTTCAAGGAACTATGCAACTAATACTTGTGACTAGGATTAGCAAACCAGTTAAATATTCTTTTTCGAGCATTGATGCTTAATTCTCCATTTTGTGCCACATTGAATTTAAGCCAATTGCGTGACGCATGGGAAGTGCTTTCTTTCAAGGAACTCTGCAACTAATACTTTTGACATTTCAGGACACTAGGATTAGTAAATTAGTTAAATATTCTTTTTCGAGCATTGATGCCTAATTTTCCAATTTGTGCCACATTGAACCAACTATAAGTTGGTACTCAGTTTCTGACTACCTTGTAGTTTCTTCCAGGAAACACATATTTTCATTAACACTAGGTTTACAGAACGCGTCAAATTGAGGCATATTGGATTTTAGAAATATTATTTTGTAAATGTTTACGTCGATTTTTATGCGATCACACTGAAATGTACCCCAATTACCTACTATCGAATCTCCAGTTTCCACAATCTAAGTGTGTACAATAAATGGCCGTAAACCCAGTGTTAAACAATAAAATGAAGAATCGATTGGCGTCTGGATTAGTTGCTCGGTTAAACATGAAAAACTGGGAGAGGCAAACTGCAGATTCACCGCAATCTCGTTGCAGACTCGTGTGCGCGCCTGTTATAGTAAACGATTATCGAACCGATTCCCGCGTCGCTGTTTATTCAGCCATCCAGCGTCAAGTTCACCAAGGCGAGACCGAAAATTCTGTCATCCCGAGTGGCAGCAGGCGAAACGCGCGCTTCGCATTTCATCCCACGTCATGCCTCGAAATGATTAACCCCTTGTCCTATAACTCCGTTCACAACTGCGCTTGATCGAACCACTTTGCCATGAATAATTCAGTAGAAAAAGACGAGAACCTTATGCTCATTCCGTCTATCTATTCCTCTGAAGGTTCGACATTGACAGATAGTACATAAATGACATTTCATTGACATGAAAAATATATAAAGTAAAAAGTACGGATAGATAGTACATAAATGACATTTCATTGACATGAAAAATATATAAAGTAAAAAGTACGGATAGATAGTACATAAATGACATTTCATTGACATGAAAAATATATAAAGTAAAAGCACCGATAGTTAACCAGTTAAGAGAAATTTTATTCGTGAACTTATCGAAAGATTACTACTGTAGAATTACTTATTTTCCACGTTTCCCTGAAAAATGGAAACTACCGATACTACGTCAATTACTGCCTTTACTTTAATTAATATTTAGTCTTAGTGAATTCCGTTACGAATCTTCATCACGAGACTGTCTCGATATCATAGATACATGAAATCGGTGACAGAAACTGCGACGAATTTTCCTTCGGCCGGTAACGTCTTTTTTTCTATCGTAACACACACCGACGTCTCGCTTCTTATCGAGTTCACCGGGTTTCCGATCGAGTTCGAACTTCTTAATGAGCTTACTTCGAGGAAAGACGTCGGAGTCAGGCGTACGACAATGCCGCAAGTTCACCGACGATCGGAGATAGACGGAATCTCTGTTGCGCGTTAAAGGTGAACCCTTTTCACAGTAACCGTACCGGTACTTATTCTGACCAGTCAAATAACCGGTTACAAAACAAAGGTGAGGAAGTTAGATGATAAATTCTTAGTGGAAACGGAGACGACGGGAAAGAGAGCAATTGAAGAACTGATTAACACGTTGAGAGCAATGGGAGTTCACCATGGGAAGTACTATTTTCTTTTTTATTAACTTTTGAACTTTGGAAGTTGTCCTGTAGGGACATTCTGAAAATTTTTGATAACAAAGTTATGCGAGGATAACGTAGATGTTTTCCCATGGCAAGCAAATTATTATAGTTCACTTAGTTAACACTAGAACTACCGTACTAGTCAAAATAACTGGTTTCAACATTTTTATTTCGTAATTATTGATATCTTAAAAGCATTGAATATCCGAAATGATCTAGAAGAAATTGATAATAATCAATTATTACAATTTTTATAGGGACTACATATTAATCGTATTAAATGCTCGGTGGTTCTAGTGTTAAATCATGATTATCTGAAAAGATTTCTATATTATAAATAATGCTACCTAACGTGACATTTAGATGAACATGCAACAATAATGCAATTCAATTTTATAACAAAGTTATACGAGAACAACGTAGATATTTTCCCATCGGAAAGCCAAATTACAGTTCACTCAGTTAAACCACGATTATCTGAAAAGATCTCTATATTATAAACAATACTACCTAATGCGTTGACATTCAGCTAGATAAACATGCAATAACAATAATGCAATTCAGTCAAATGATTTAGTACAATGTTTGTTCCATTTTGTGTATTCTGCTCTATGGAATCGTGCGGCGTTCAACGTATTAATCGGACAATATCGGAGCAGATGTCGAGCGAAACGAACGACAGGAAGCGTAGAATTTGAAATTCGGTCATTCGACCGGTTTCCGGTGTTGTTACCGTTAAATTAAGACGCCGCCGAGTAACGGGATACAAGCGTGAAAGTTCACGGGTCGCGACGATCCTTTGAGGACTCGGATTCCAAGGGTCGAACCGAAGGATTGCAGGGTCTCCACTTTCGACTGTCTTGTTACGTAATCCGTTTATCTCGGTCAGTTAGATTTCTCGTTGCCGGTTAATCACGGAACTTCGTTGCCATCGTCTTGAATCGATACCGCGGCAGATCCGAGAAGGAAACTCGGTTATAACCAATCAAGCCCCGGCGATTCATTTATCCTCGCCCGTTGGATCCTTCCCGATTAATCGATGCGTAAACGGACGTTGTTCCGACGCGCGTTTCCCGTCGATCGGATGGCGGAAAGTGTTCACGGGAAACGGCCACTTTGTCACGGACTTGGTTTTAATGAATTCGAGGCGAAATTTCGTGTCTTTAATTATTAAGCGCGTCCTTGCACTCGCATTTCGGCGCGGTAATTTATGGAAACGAGCGCGGGGGGAGACGCAATTTCTCTTGTTAAGGGCGTCGTTACGCTCGAACTTCGTTTAACTGTCGAAAATTGCGCGGTGTATGGGAAGTCCTTTTCCAGGACCCGTGCAACTAATACTTCTGACGTTTTCAGGACACTAGGACTAGTGCAGCAGTTAAAACGCGAAGTGAATGACTAACTGAAATCTCAATAGATGCGTTCTTCGAGTTTCCGTAGAACAATTAACACTGGAACTACCGAGCATTTGATACTATTGAAATGTAATCGCTATGAATGTTGTAGTAATAGATTATTTTCGGTTTCTTCAGACATTCATATTTATTTTCAGAATCATTTCGAATATTCAATGCTTCGAAGATATCAATAATTACGAAACAGGAAAATTGAAACTTGACTGTTACGGTAGTTCTAGTGTTAAACATTCTAATTTCATTGCAATTATTATATTATTGCAATGAAATAATTATTATATTTATATAATAATAATAATAATATATTATAATATTATATTTATATTATTATTATAATTATTATTTTATTGCAACTACTGAAAAAGGTCTAGCAACAACTGTAACTAATTCGTCTGCAGCCATG